GAATTCAGTGCTCGGCAATGCAAATCAATGGTGTCCTATGGAATTTAATTTTTGCAAATCAATGATTGAACAGGACACAACAAACTAGTTCATCATGGGGTTCGGGGATGGGAAGGAGTCGTTAGCCGCCACTGTCATCAACGACCTTGATCCCATGTGCCGTCGCACGGCGCAAACTGCCAGCCGCCGCATGCTTGCCTGCTCTCCCAGCCAAACGAGCATGAACTGATGAAGAACAGGAATGGTCCAACCCAACCAATCACGTGTGAATACAGAGAGGACTAAGGGTAAATTTGTCATTTTCTGTCCCTATTCACATGGAAACACTCGTCTTGCACTGCAGTTTTGGTGGAAGTGCTATGGATGGAAGAAAAACGAGTGGCCTGTGCTACCAGTCGAAAGCGGAAATTTTAGTTCCTTGTTTCTGTGCTACAGATCGAATTCTCTATAGCAAATAGCCAGAAAACTAGAGTACCCATGGCCGTGACATGATTTTAGTTCCCCACACAACAAATGCCGACTTCGCCAACCATATACGATAAAAGCAATTCAACGTGGATACCAATAGCACTGCAAGAAGAGAGAGATCACCTTCACGAAATTCAGACCACTCATGCTTGCGCAAATGGTGTGGTGCATCGAGTGGGGGCAGCAACCCCTGCATACAAGAAGCGACACGGATCAATCAGCACCTCCAGGAAACCCAACATGCCGATGATGCAATCATGTTCTTCAGCGGTCTCACCACAAACTTCAAGTTGTTGTGCATCGGGAAAAGGCGTCGGCGCAGGTATTGTGGAGTCTCCAGATACTGTAGGATGCGAACAAGGAAGCGCGCGCCACTCTCTACGTCATCGCCGCTGTTCTCCACTGAGGAATTGCTGTCGAAGACCACAACCTCGTCGATGCGGAAGACGGTCGCCGCGCGGGCGATTTGTCCTGCCAGCTGAAACAGGGTAGGAGCTAGAGCCGCAAGAACTAGCAAGGGAAGGTGAGAAAGGATGGATACTGACGAGGGTGGCGAGCTCGAGGGACTGGGCGTTGTCGATGATGGATCCGGCGACGGCGATGCTCACCGTGGTCTTCCGATTCGGAACCGCCACGTCATCTCCGTTCTTCTTCTGTTGCAGCTGCTTCTTCCTCTTCTTGTCGTGGACGATTTCTTCGTCAGCCGCTGAAGCCTCTGCGGCTCCGCAGTCGTCCTTTCGCTTCTTTTTCTTCTCCTTCTTGCACCGGGCCTTCTTGGAGGCCGCTGCTGCCTCGGCGTCTCCGGAGTTCATTGCGGCGGCGGCGGCGGCGGCGGAGGCGTAGGGGGGACTAACACGAGAACACCTCCAGGTTCCAGGAGTCGAGAGGCCGACGAAAGTAGGGTAGTGCGTAAGGGCCCCTCATGTGCCGGCCTTCGGCCAGCGAAGGGGTTTGCGTGGAGTCGGACTGTTTTCGGCCCAGCGATAAGTCTACTTTATGTCCCTCAGTACCGTTTGAGTTTCATTGTATCTCTCAACCGTAAAAGGTGGAGAAGTAGAAATAGAGGCTCATTCAGATTGGTCGCCCGATCGAATTTGAGAAATATTGGGCGCTGACGTCAGCGTCCGATTTACGTGCAGAAACTACTTTAAATTGATTTTTCTCTTAAATTACTTATCCAAATCATAATCCGATTGCACCATTAAATTCGTTGCAATTAAATTTTCAAAACAAGACCACACATGGATATATTCCGACGAAAAAAAATTAGCTTATTATTGAATTATTTTTAAATATTGCACAATGTTCCACTAGGTATATCGGAATTGTTTCACTAAGTAGATCGAAAATGTTTCACTCGTTTAAATCGGGTGTTGTTTCACCTTATGTAAAAACAATGTTTCAACAAATAGCGAAAGAATGTTTCAGTTCGCTGCAACATTAGATCTATACATAGTGAAACATTGTGAGTATACTAGGTGAAACATTTTTCGGTGGAAAAAAAATATACCAAATTCCCTTAATAGGGGGTTTCCAAAATATATGGATTTTTTTGTTGCAATGGAATGTTTCGTTCACTGCAACATTAGATCTATACATAGTGAAACATTGTAAGTACACTAGGTGAAACATTTTTGATGGAACAAAAAATAAACTAAATTCCCTTAATAGAGAGTTTCTAAAATATGTGGGTTTTTTTTGTTGCAAAAGAATATTTTAATTCACTGCAACATTAGATCTATACATAGTGAAACATTGTGAGTACATTAGGTGAAACATCTTTTGTGAAAAAATGGGAGGGAGAAGTGGGTGGGCCCACCAGGTGATCACGTGGGGGAGCGCCCGATCCGGCTCACCCTGCGCGGGTCACCCGGGGTGAATCATTATCGAGTATAAATTGTCCCTCATTTTTTATTAAAACCAGTACAAATCGATAATATGGAATAAGTTCACACTGCATCCCTTATGTTTGCGCATTGAGTTTAAATCACATCCTTAAACCACAATACTGGAAATCTTAAACCTCCATATTACAAAACCGGGTTAAATAAGATCCTAAGACGGTACGGATGATTGTTTTGGCTGACATGGCATCCTAGCTAGAAAAAGAAAATAAAAAATAATATGTGGGGCTCATATGTCGGAGGCTTTCTTCTTCCTCCAATTCTCCCCTCTCTTCCCAATCTCACTCCACAACGGCAACCGCTGGGGAAGGAGGGGCGGCTGAAGAAAAGAGACAAGGCGATGGTGGCGTTCGAGCCAACCAAAGGTCGCTCTCGTGGCGCAAACAGCTCGGGCTCACCTTGGTTGCTGAGCTCCACCTCGTTGGGGAGGCCACACCGCCCGCTGGGTACGACGCAACGACATGGCGGACCAACGCCAAAGATTTCACGGCAACAGAGGGGATGAGGTGGTGGATGACGATGGTGACCTCAAGGCTATGGGAGGGGGGGGGGGAGAGAAAGCCTGAGCAGGCAGTGGGGATGAGGAGGTGAAGGATGATAGCGAGCTCGAGGTTGCAGCAGTGACACGGGGAGAAGGGGGGTGAGGGGTGGAGGAGGGAGCTCGAGTGAGCCGGAGGGAACAAGGTGGTGGGACGATGTGGGCGAGCTCGAGACGTGGGTGAGCTTGAGGCCACAACAGTGGCTAGGGGAGCCTGAGCAAGCGGCATGGCCTCCCCATGCGAGGCGGAGCTTGGTGACCAGTCTGGCCGCCGCCATTGCCTTATCTCCTCTCTCCTGCCACTATGACCGCCTCTCCCCTCGCTGCCATCAGCCATTGCCGCGAAGAGAGATCGGGAAGAGAAGGGAGGTGTGGAAAGAGATGGGAATAGAGGAGAGAATGATTGGAGGAAGAAGAAAACCCGTGACATGTCAACCCCCACATGTTTTCAATTTTTTTTTTGGATACCACGTCAACCAAAACAACCATCCATAAGCTTCTTTCATATCGTGACTGAAAACCTACAATTTTTCGAGCGCATGAAATCTAGCAAACAACACAGGAATTTAACAAAGGGAGAGATTTGCACGTGTTTGTGTACGATAGTATGTTTTATTGTGCCACTTCCGTGTAATCGGAAAAAAAAAAGAAACTGATTAAGCTTCACCTCACCTCTCATCCTCACAAACAGTACATGAGAATATTTCACCTGTCATAATCCCACCACGTAAGATGCTTCCACAAACTGTACATGAGCACGATGAAACAATCAAGCTGTATTGCACACCCTCCATCCTAAAAAAAAATTAAAGCACAATCAAGCTGTATTAGAACATCACAAAATATCGATGGAGAATGTAAATCTTGCAGTTTATCCATCAACACGATCACAAGTTAATACTTCACGACTGACCCCCCCAAAAATTTCTCATATACTCCTAAACCAGGAACGAAATAATGACGTCGCGACTTGGAAAAGTTAGATACAAACAGCCGTACAATGATTTAAAACCAAAACAGGAAGTTCGAGTTCCTTCTTTTTCATGTTCAATTCTCTGTGTACTAAATATATGATGTCACATTATTACATTGTCACACATTCTGCAAAACTTCAATAATTTCAATGTCTAAAGCATATACTTCCTTCCGTTTGAAATGGTCAAAGACTTGAAGAGGCAAAAAGAAATTCTACTAATTTCGTTCTACTCCTGGATTCTTGATGGTTCTCCAATTGCATCTTCCATACGTTGGTACCAGTCACCAATTTGTGTATGCTCAACCATATCTTTTCCAGCTGTCAAGTATCGGATAGGTCTCAAAACACCAAATACTGCAAGATCTGCCAAGTTAGGCTTGGAGCCACCTGGATAAATGCAAGTTAATATCAGTGCGGAGTAACAAACTTGATGCATGTGGATTTTCACCCTTCCAGGCTGTTTTTTCCCTTTTCCCTTCCTTTATGGAAAAATATCATACCTAGAAAATCCCTTCCATCAAGGGCTTCCATCCATGTGTTGGCAGCATCGTATAATGAAGCACGCGCATCAGTTATATTGTACTTCTTCTTTAGCTTCTTAGACACCATGTACATTGCTGCAGCACCAGCATACTTCACAGCAAACCGCTCAGTAAAACTGAAGTTGCCTGCATTACAGAGTTCGGGTGCACATCGTCAAATGTTGCACTAACAAAATCATGTGTCATTTCTGCTCAAATGATTAAAACAGTTAGCGAACAGAGCACCACCTCTGCACCCAATTTTACGTTTTTGCCTAGAGATGAAGAAATCTAGTGTTCCTGGATAAGTGGATAGCATGGCATCTTGAACTTTTATTTTTTAGTTTTCTAGTTTGAATATAATTGGAGATGAATCATATCTTACTATAAAGTTATCCCCCACTAACTCCTTAAGCTTAACATGCAAAGGTGCCACATCATCATCCACTAACAAGATGCTACACATCATCCACTAACAATCATCACATTTAAACAACATGCAAACATGCTATATCTTTATAGTTTTTATAATTTAAGAGCTTTTCAAATAAAAATATGTTAAATTATCATCCAACATAATTCATATAATGTTTCAATATATATCTTTATTATGTTTTATGATATCCTATATACTTATATAGTTCATCCTCACTTAGTTAGTACTTAAATGATTAATCTATGGTCCAAATTATCTTTCTCCTTTTTTCCTCTAATTAAGTCATATCACATCAATTGTTTTTAGCCTTTTTTTACTGGAATTGTTTTTAGCCTTTAGATGATTAATCTACAGACCAAACTATCTCCCTATTTTTCTTCTTCCATAAAGTCATACCACCTTACTTTTTACATTTGAATCACCATTCTACATACTATTTAAATTTAAATTATCATAAACCATATTAATTTACTTAATCTGATGTTATCTAGCTATCTTACACATTCTTTTTTTATTGTTATCATACTAAATTCCCGCAGCAATGCGCGGGGTTTCACCTAGTATAGTAAACAAGTAACCCCTTACATGAGGGGATTTTGCTGAACAGTGAGCACAAACTAATCTTCCCTACACTGTTCTTTCCATGCACCTCATGTTCTCTCAACTAACCTCCGCTATCAGCAGTTCAGCACTATGTTAGTATGGTACCTCGACGATTGAATTTCCCTATATCTCACAGGTAAAATCCCTGTTCAGACACATTATGCATAATGCTTTTCATTTATGGGGCATCCATTGACAATCACGCTGAACAGTGAGCATTCACCAAATTGTGTTATCTCCAACATTTAGAAAATTAATGAACTATGAATGGAGAGCACCTGGGTTCACAAAATCAAAATATTCATGCCAAGTATGTTCCAGAGAGATCCTATATGTAACCTCACTGTAACACCCTAATTTGCAAGGTGCAGGCCCCATGTACACACTGCATTCCATTCTAGCTTCATGTAAAAGGTTAACCTGAAGGTTCTATGGTTGGAATGTGTAGGTTTATTTGTTATCCTTAATACATCTAAAATCTCTATGTGAGCCTAATCTCACCAAAAATACACCACGGGTCACACAGGCCTCTAGTACAAAGCTGGGGTTCATTCACCCCTTTCTTTAGAAGCTGATGAACTTGTCAGCACATTTTCTTGTTTATTCCTGTGTTACTCCGATAAAATTCAATCCTATTACAACCAAATATCAACTTGTTAAAAGCCTTCGATGGCAGTAGATAGTGCACGACCATGTCCTATCCACCCCATGAACCCAGACACATACTCGTGTAGCACAAGGTTTATGCTCTGATGTCAACAGTAGGACCCTAGCTTTCAAAATCCACTTTGGCCTGGTTCTTCTGAGGAGCAGGGACATTTACATAGCACCCCACGTAAACTTCTGTTCTTGATTCATGTAAAAGGGTTCCCAAAGGTGCTATGGCTCAAACATGTTGGCCCCAACCTATCTAAACTCACCATGTAAGACTAATCCCACCATCACTGTACATGGGCCACAAGTGCCTCTACTACAGGACCAGGGTGTTACACTAACTTATAAAAAGGGGTTTAGCGTTAATGATTCCACTCACTCTGGTCTCAAATACTTCTTATTTTGAATAAGCATCTAGTCAAACATTTAAAAGTAGTGTCAACATCTTTTAAAGATTATTTGGATACATGAGAATCATAAATATAACCAAAAGAAAGAAAATATAGCAGCACACAGACACCAAAGTTAAAAGTTCCAAGGAATTACCATGTTTTGAAATATAATCAAAAGATTCCAAGGCCTCTGAAGTTGTCCGATATATATTTGGCGACAAGACATGCACAAGGTGCTCATCAACCCACCTAAACCAATAATTCAAGACAAATTATGTTACCGTAGATAAACTCCAGTTTGTAAGAATGTTAAGAGAGTAAAATGTTGGTCACTCGTGCAACCAGGGTTCGCCATGCTACTTCTAGAGGAATCCAGCTCACTCCATCAAGGGTAAAGCCTAAATGCAGCCAATTTAGTGGTAGTCGGCTTTTTTGTTTTTCATCTTTCAGTTTGTGAATCCTACCAGAAAATGCATAACTACCCCTAATACAAGATAATAATGGACTTACTGGTTGTCTCTAGCCTTGGAAACACTACTATGACCAGATCCAGAGAAAAAGTCTATAAAGTAATCATCAGATCATAACGGATAAGCTCTTAGTTTCATCAATTAATTTTAGTGGTAAAAACACAATGAAATAAAGCAAAGAGGATAGTTGATGGCCATACTGATTCTGCCTGGCCTTGAAACATTATCACCAGATCCTTGGGAAACATGTAACTATAAACTATCAGATCGCAGAAAAAATGTAGTAATAGTGATGGCTATGCTGATCCTGCCTGGTGTTGGAACATTACAATGACCAGATCCAGGGAAAGAAGTCTATCATGTAACTATCAATGCATAAACAGAAAAAACTGATGGACAAGGTTTTTGTTCACCGATTGATTTACATTGTAAAACAATGAAACAAAAGTAAAGAAATACTATAAAAGTAGAACATATTGCACATACTAATGCCATATAAATGATTAAAAATTTCAAGAGGAAAGTAGACTTTAAACAATATTTGTTTCTAGAAATAGGAGTACTATAACATTAATGATTTGAGAAGCTAGAACCAAGACCTGAAAAAAAAATTACAAATACTAATGCCACATAAACAGATGCAAGTAATGGAGAAATACCTGCGCCATTTTTCTTCCTCTTCATTAGTGGCTTTATCATCAGGGCGGACCCTTTGCTGTAATATATTGATTATATCTACCAACAACAGATGTAACAATACGTTAACTCTGGAGTTTAACACATAAAAAGTTATTTTACTTAAAAGTTGAAACCACAACAATGTAAAGGAACCAGACCGGAATAAACCAATATGAAATGAATGTAACCTGATGAATCAACCAGCTGTTCACCATCTACCATCAGTATTGGGACCTTCTTGTACTCAGACCACTTGATTTCCTTCTTGCTCAATGGATTAACTTCCACAACCTTGTAGGGTATATCATGATAGTCTAGGAAAGCTGAAATGAAGCAAATGAAGAATCTTTCAACTAAAAGAAATTATGCCAGAACAGAGAGATCATCAATGATTTCAGAATAACAAGTGAATGATCTTTAGCAAGCAACTTTCAAGCTTCAGAAATCTAGAATACCTCTATGCTCTAAGCTACTGATATACAGATCACACTTACAATCAGGATTGATCATAGACTCACAGTACGATCACACTTAGTTATCGAAGTGTATATACTCATACAGCAGATAATTTGTGAACCCATTGACAGATGACAACCCCAGTCCCAATAGCATTATGAAGTTTCACGTACAGTAAATTATTACATCATGCTGCCAATGAATCAGATTGCTGTGCAAGTTTGTAGGTGAGGGTGACACCTGTCAAAAAAGGGATGGCTGATGTACTAACAAGTAATGACAGTTGGACAAAAGGAAAACAATTTTTACAACAAATTCTGGAAGGTCTGATTCAATGAATAAACTTGACCAATTCTTAGCTGGGAGGCTCCTCTCTTTTGAAGTTATGCAAAATGTACCGACAGTCCTTAAACATGTCATAGATGGGCACAGATGCACAGTTGGACCCGTGATGATACATTAAATTAAGGGCTTAAATATGCAATTTGAAAGTTCAAGAACCATAATGATAGAAGAATTGTACTCTACTGACTATGTTAAATTACATACTGCTACCTAAAAACGCTTAGCTTGTAAGTTTTTCATTACCAACAAATCAATAATTATCCCCTCAACAGAAAATCAGGACATAGAACAACACATCATGGTACCCCATGAACTATTTCCATGAAGCTAAACACAATACTACCAAAACTCAGACCTTGAGCTATTTCAGGAGGGATGGTTTGCCTAGCTGGGGGAAACCAACAACGCTTGACTACAAGCTCAAGGCCAAGTTTGCCTCGGATTACACAATCAACCTAACTCGTTTCAATGATTTCAACAACTTTCAAGGTATTTTGAGATGAGACCAAAAGGCTGGAAAAGGCTCAGAATAAACTTTTTTGTCGTGTGCAAGAACACATGCAATCAAGTTACCATGAAGATTTGTGCTCACTTTAGTTCAGGCTGGTCTCTGGAGGCCAAATAGGGCTCCAAATATGCCCTTTTTTTGTATCTCTAACTCAAATTGGACTTAAATACTCATTTCAAATTGAACATGTATCATACATAAAGACAAATACTCATTTCAGACAATAAGTAGTGTTATATACTCAATCAATTCAAATTGAAACACATTAAGCAATGAGGTTACTTGTTCAAAACAAACCAAATGTAGCTTGGCAGATGCCATTTTGTATGGAACAGAATTTCTCTGACCACTAAGGCAAATTCATAGTATGGCATGCTCTTTGCAAGCCTCTAGTAAAGGATCACTTGCTCCAAACAGGCAAACACTTTATTGTATGGAGCAATTTCGTTTCTGCCCCTACTTTGATGTAGTCTAATACTGATTTTACCCCTACTTTTTATGGTTTTCGTTTTTGCCCCCAATTTTTTGAACCGGACGATCGTCTTGCCCCTATTTTGGATGCTGAAGTTAACGGTGTTAAGTAATTAGCAAAAGGACATTTATACCCTCTTCTATTTTTTTTCATTAATTGTGTTTTTGCTTCCATTTTATACATGTTGCTTTGGAACTTTATTTTTGTGAATGCATTTAAAATTAAATGACGCACATTGACTAATATAACAATTAGGACAGATTCAGACCTAATTGTTGTGGCAATGTGCATCATTTAATTTTAAATATATTCACAATAATAAAGTTCCAAAGCAAACATGTATAAAATGGGGGCAAAAACACAATTAATGAACATAAATAGGAGAGGGTATAAATGTTCTTCTGCCAATTACTTAACACCGTTAACTTCACCATCCAAAGTAGGGGCAAAACGATCGTTCGGTTCAAAAATGTGGGGGCAAAAACAAAAACCCTAAAATGTAAGGGTAAAATCAATATTAGACATCAAAGTAGGGGCAGAAACAAAATTGCCCCATTGTATCTATTCATCCATATGCTCCAAGCCCTAACAACAATAGCACCAATTTATAATTATTTTTCTCAAAATTGTCAACTGATTCTGGAACCAAGAGATCTCTTGATTGTTCATCCTCTTGGGTCTCCACATTACACATTTTTCAATGCTCAAACATGCTAAGACCATAGCAAAAATCCCTAACAGCTCCCAGGCTCAGGTGGAAACCTCAAGCATGTATTAGTCAATGCAACAAGGTAATGACTAATAGGTGACATGGCATGGGTAGCAGGACTACACTACAGTGATGTCATGAAGTCTGTTACATAAAACGGAACAACGAACACAAGGACCCTGAGGTGGTCAGTTCAATGAGTGCATGTGAACTGTAAGGTGACAAGAAGCACAAGTAAAGCCACTCAGTGAGTGGCAGAGATGGCCTCATGGGAGTGATCCACAGATGGCCTCATTAGAGTGATCTGGCGGATAATAGCATAATGCAAACAATGCAACCATGGTAACTAAATTACCCTCCATTGGAATGTTCCCCACACTGATATGACTTATGAGTGCATGGACAAGATAACAGGCCCAACAGAAGCTTCACAAAGGGGACAAACTCAGGTAGCAGTATCTGGTGAGCTCTGCTGTGGCCTCAAGGAAGAACAGTAAAGGCAACTTTGGTGACACCAGCAAGACGGTGTTAGTGAGAATGATAGCAATGGTTACAAAGCAGGCACCCAATTTTCTTAAGGAGTGATGGAATATGTTCCATATTTTTGAAATGGACCCAATGTATTGTGTTAGTTTTTTTCCCTTCTATTAGCTGTACTTTGGTTAAACAGATAGAAGTGGTTTTCTTCACCTCATCCAGAAATCTTGATGCTAACTGATGGGAGCTTATTTTCTGTAATCTACTACCTTAGAATCAATTCTCTGTGTCGAAAGATAGTTCCCTTCAAATATCCTTCACCTTCTGTAAAGCATCAACAAACCTATTTCAGATGACACCTAAATTAGCGATACTTGATTTTCTGTGTTTTCCCCATTCTTGTAATTCTATTTATCTGTTCCAAACAGCCCTATCAGCTTACGAGCTAAAGAAACTATATTGGGCTCACAATGTGAATAGTCCTACCTGTGCATAGGGACCTCGCTAACTCATATTGTTCAAAATATTTTCATTCACTTTTTTATCTAAAAAGGTTGGATAGATGAAAAAGAATGAAAAAGGTTTTACAAGCAGGTATTGCTTGGTTTGCTAGGCTTAGCACTGGTCATCCAGTCGTTGTGCAATCAGCCTTGGTGCATTCTCAGCAGTGCTCTTGGCATTAAATCCTGGGTAGTCTATGGACACGTATGGATTCAGTGGGATGTATTCTACATTTAGCTATTTTCAAAGCAATGAAAGTAGATAACACTATCAAAAGGCGGTGAAACTTATGTTCTGTAGATTTATGCATTGTCCAGAAACATTGTTGGTCCGCCAAACTCATGACAATTGACTGTCCTTTAACTTCTATGGTTACTTGAATCCTCCCAACCTCAGAAACAGCTTCTACAGCAGCCTCCCAACCAAAATACAAATTATAATCTATATTCTCGATAGTAATCATTAAGATAAAAAGGCAAATTACAGCTAGTGAACTATTTTATCGTAACCAGATCACCACGAAAAGTACTTTTTATCAGGTCTAATGCACATCGAAAACGCTAGATTGGAGGAGTGCACGGAAGCAGGAGCACATCACCTCTGACTTTGTTGCAGAAGGGGCAGGCCTGGTACTGGTACAGCACCACGTTCTGCGGCAGCAGATCCATGGGCGGCCTTTCCTTGGCCTCCGCCGCCGCCATCGTCGCGAAGGTCAGGGAGAAGGAGACCGCCCCAGCGATTCCAGCTGGCATGGCCCGCGAGGATGATGATGATGATGCCTGGGATGGGGGCGACGGCTGGACGCCCAATCTCCCGCCGCCCGCCGCGGCCGCCGCCGTGGAGGCGGCGTCCCCATGGAGAGCGCGCGAGGAGAGGAGCAGCGAGCGGGAGGCCAGAGCTTGCGCCGCTCGGATTGACCTCATCTTGGCAAACGAATAGAGCGGGGCTGTTAGGGTTTTGGACTGGTTTGCCTCGCCGGCGCCGGCGGAAGAAGAGACGGATTTAGGAATTACAAGGGAGATCCTGGATGGTGCTGGATGGAACGCCTAAAACCCTTGATACTTTACGTATTAGTACTTCAACTACTATTAAATTGTGTTATTATCGCGGCTAAGGGCCCAATGACGGATCGGTTTTCTAAATAGACTTTTGTTTTCGGAGGATACCTTTGCGCTCGTTCTTCTTGGAGAAGAAGAAAGCAATACGCGGAACAGTTGGGTTCGCAGGTTAACGACGGATGACGGGATTGTTGTCCACGGCTCAACATCTACTTCCCTCCGTACTATAAAAAAATTAAACCTAAATCTAATAACCTATTCAAAATCATAGTAATATAGGTATGTTTAGTTTTTTTTTATGTAAAGTTTTTAAAGTATACGGACACACATTTAAAGTATTAAACATAGACTAATAACACAAACAAATTACAGATTCCGCCTGTAAACTGTGAGACGAATTTATTAAGCCCGTCATTAGCAAATATTTACTGTAGCATCACATTGTCAAATCATCACGTAATTAGGCTCAAAAAATTCGTCTCGCAATTTACATATAAACTATACATAGGGGTGAAAACGGAGCGGATATTATCCGATCCGATCCGATCCGAATCCGTCCGATGTGAGGATATGGTAAAAATTTTTAGATATCCGGCCAGATGCGGATGCAGATGCGGATATGGTATCAACGATATCCGACGGATGCGGATTATCCGATATTTTAATCGGATTATCCGATGTAATGTTTGGCGGATAATCCGTACCTTTCAGGCCACACAACAACTCTATTTAGCCCATTTTACATCGGGCAACCCATCTAGCCTATATAGTGTAACCTAATCCAATCCTCCCCTAAATCTCTCTCTCTCTCTGCGACTCTTCTCTCGGTCCCTTCTCCTGCTCCCACATGCGCCGCCGCATGGCACCATAGGTGCGCCGTGCCATCGCTACAGCCTGCTGGCGCCACCGCCGCCGCTCCTCCTTTTAGTCCGCCGACAGTGTGTTGTGTGCTGTTTGCTGTAAGCAGTGTGCTGTATGGAACTAGTGTGTTGTGTGCTGTATGCAGTGTGCTACTGTATTGTGTGGCTATGTGCTGTATGCCTATATTGCTGTATGCCTCATTGCCTCATGCCTGTCATACTGATGAGTGAACTACTGAACTGAACACTATATTTTTAAATTTTAAGCAACGCAGTGAACTGCTGAACTGAACACTTATATTATGTTTTTGATGGATGTGTTATATTAAGCAAAATTATATTATTGATGTGTTTTGGTTGGTTTTTCCTAGAGAGCTGAGATCATGTTCATATGTTGTTTGGCCATCGTATTGCGGCAATTGTATTGCCGCCCTCTTGTTGTATGGATTGAATACAAACTTGACATCCGACAACTTTTTGTCTGTTTCCGAACAGAGTCCGCACCGACTCCGCACCGAATCCGACGTCCGAAATAATCCGCTCCGCATCCGCATCCGCACGTCATCTGCACTCGCTCCGCATCCGCTTAAAGAAAATGGTTTAGGATATGGTATAGCTATTATCCGTCCGAATCCGCTCCGTTTTCACCCCTAAATGTACAATTGGTTTTTTCCTCACATTTAATGCACCATGCATGTGTCCAAACATTTGATGTGACGTTTTTGGCCAAATTTTTTTTATCTAAACAAGGCCTATATCATATTTTTTTATTATGTTTGTTTTTTATGAGACGAAAGAAATACACCTTTACCAAAAGCAAAAGCATAAGGTTCTCGGTTTTGGACATGTGAATATGAAAGAAACATGATGATATTAGGATCCTGTTGGGTAGGGCTTCAACTATTAAATTTAATTTCAAGAGTTAGGTCTGGACTAGAGTTATGAAGCGCGGTTTAAACCCAGCTTTACCTCGCTAGTTTATTTTGTGATGCACTTCACTCCGCTTCGCTCTCTTGTTAGGTAGAGCTGAAACTATTTGGATGGACTCTAGCTCTAAGTTAGAGTTGAAACTCTGCCTAACAAGTCCTAGGTATTGGGTAGATAAGCACATCAGCACGTACTAACTTTCAAACACACATTGCTTAAAAAAATCCACGCTTTCTTGTTTAGGAGCTACTTAGTTTTAGTTGATAAGGGTGTGCATTTGGTTTCCTCGGTTTGGTTTGATCCGTTTTTCTTTATTTGGTTTTTCTAAAATGCCAACCAAAGAAGAGCGTGAAAACTTAAAAATCAAACCGAAAAATTTGGGGCCTCATCGTTTGGCTTTTTTCTAAATAAGCCAAAACGGCTTATTAGAGAATAAAAATGAATTTGTAGGTAAAGCTTTTATACATGTGTTTTTGTGACTTAAAAGCTAATGCTGAAAAAGAAACTACGTTGAAAATATCTCAAAATCAATATCAAAATTAAGTTTGAAAATTCAAATTTTGGCTTTTTCTTTAGCTGAATAGGCCATCCGATGGGAGCCTTTTGGTGTACTCGTCATCATTTTTTACCCAAGAAACTGCCTTCTCCCATCGTTGCGGGCTTGAGACGATGATCTTCACTCGTGCGATCGCGTCCACCCACATGCTCATAGATCTGCCCTTGCATCGAGGTTGAGCTCTCATGCTGGAGATCAGCACTCTAGCAAACATCGAGCTCCAATGTCACTACCGATCTAATCTGGCAGATATCAAGATCCTACGCCATCGTAGAGGATCTACTTGCATGCGACTCATGACTCTGGCAGGAGGCAGCAAATTTCCTTGGTTGTGCAGTCCTTCTCTAGCACTGTGCGTGAGGCAAGCCTCTCCTGCAAGTGAAGATGAAGAGGCGCAAGGCATTTCCCCTCGTCCTTGCTTTCAGTGCGGTTTCCAATGGCTCGCTTGAAAGAGTCACTTAGGCTTACAAAGGGAAGCTAGAAACTAAACCAGGTCGGATTGTCTGATACCTGGTCGAACAGTTCGGGTTGTTTTTCTTTCTTTACCAAAACACACTGAGGGAGACCCCCACGGTATATATTAATTTTTTGAAGTTTATATACAAAGATGGTAGAAAGGGATAAAAAGGAAAAGAAAACATAATTACAGAATATCATGGAAGTATATGAATCTCCCTATGCCTAAGTAAATGAAGGCTCAAATCCGAGATAAGATTTCTCTTCCAAGAAGCAACGGAATGCTGAATACCTTGAAATATTAGGCCGTTTCTTTCCTTCCAAATATTCCAAGTGTCGAAACAATATTTCGGTAATATTAAAATGGGATGGCTATCAAGCTTGAAAAATGGACGGTTTAAGAGACATGAGGTTTATACAGGTTCAGGCCTTCTAGATGAGAAGTAATACCCTACTCCTGTCTGGGGATTGATCCGCCGAGTATATTGTTGATCGTATGATCAGGGAGAAAAGTTATGCCCTTAGAGTCACCCGGATCCCTCCTTATATAGAGGGAGGAGCCGGAATTACAAGATACAACCCATGTTCTTAACGGACTAGGCTTGTACATATAAATTACAATCGTAACCGACTAGGACTATCGGTTGTTTCCTTGATACATAAGTTGACATAACAACCAAGTCCTTTACTAAATATATTCTATTTCTATATGGTACCCCTATACCCAGTCGGATATACATGCCGTGTGGGTATGGGGTATCCATAATCTCCACAGTAGCCCCTGAGACCTTCGCAGACGACGAAATAATCTTCTCCCGAGTCATTTAACGAAAAATCCCGAGTGCTTCAATTATCTCCGCCTTGGCCTCCTGAGTGCTTGAATTAAAGGCTGTGAAGGGCTTAAAAATAAAAAAAAATAGGTGCATCGACTGGATGCACTTAATAGGTGTAGCCCCCGACTATGTGATTAGTTGAAAAAAACTAAACATATAGTCAAGGTTGAAATAAATAACCAGCCGAGTGGTTTTATAATATTACCGAAGTAATTAAATATTAAAGCATTTGCGACTCCGTCCGAAGAGTTTGCCGACTGCTTTAATTAAATTATTAAGCTTACTATGAAACATAGAAAATAAAGATCCGAGTGATAAAAGCACTCTAAAGATCTATCGTCTATGAAATCATTGTCATGATTAATATTTGTGATGAACAATTGGCTTTGCAAAATGATTTAATCAAAGAATTGGTTTGAAAAAATGTGTGAATGTTGGTGTAAGTGCGTGTAACTAATGTGGGTCAGGTTGTGATATCTGTGCCCAGAAACGGTTGTTTTTTCTGATTGTGTGCAGGTGACTTGAGGTCAGCCTTGGTCAATGGTGAGGACCGAGACTATGTTCAGGGAGGAACAGAGGTCTAGTGCGGTCAGGATACCATGTGAGAAGGTGACTAGAGTCAGGATTCTTGGAGGTCAACTTCGGTCAACGGTGGGGATCGGGACTAAACTCGGGGAGGAGTTGAGGTCCAGACGGTCAAGATGCCAGGTGACGAAGTTGGATACGAGATGGCGCATGGTGGATGGACACCATGTGGGAGAGATCTTCACAACGGGCTTCACGAGGTGTGCGTGCAAGCGTAAGTGTTCGCGAAGGAAATTGAGTGATAATATTTGGAGGTATATGGTGCTACAGTACACGAGGTACTGTAGCATGCAGGTTATATGTATGCATGTACGGTGCTGTACATGTGCAGTTTGCTGATTGGTTGGCTTGGAGGTTTGCATGTATGCGTTGGCTGTTTGGAAGGCAGCAGGCAGCATGCAGCGTCTCGGCTCAGCCAGGAAGGGAGCGAGACCAAGCAGGAAACGGCAGGCGTGCGCGCGAGTTGGAGTCTGACTCGGTTGGACCTGGTTCGGCAGGTGCGGCTGAGAGTTTGGATATTATAATTGACTAGCAAAAGTGCCCGTGCGTTGCACCGGGTGATCAGGGAGTGTGTACAGTGACAAAAAGTGTTGTTTGGTTTAGACAACTAATCTGCTAAAAAAATTATTTACCACGAACGTCTCAAGCACCCGTGTCAAATCAAAGATTTAAATCAAGATTGACTGGTTCCACCACAAGAAACTTATCCGGTTAAACTATACCCACTTTGCAATTGTGGGAATATACATGTGTATTGTTACCTGAGAAAAATATGTGGACTTCAACAAATCGTAAAAATCAATCTTATTAATTTTGTGAGAGTGAGTATTGGCTTTTATTTACAAA